AGATTAATTCTCCTCTCTTTTGTAATCAGGAAATCTAATTGTAATCGAGACCAAAGGAATACAAATCAAATTTTCTTTCATTTCTTTTACTACAAATTTTCCACCAAACAAAGGTATTGTTTGAATATCAAGATATATTGGGTGTCGTAGAGAACGGAGTTACTGATCTCACAGATAGCGCAAGTGAAGCCGAGAAGAAAGCCTACGGTGAGATCAAGAATAATGATCGAAAGATGTTATTCTACATCCATCAAGGAGTGAATGATTCAGTTTTTGAGAAGATCGACGGAGCAACTATAGCAAAGCAAGCATGGGATATTTTAGAGACATCATACCATGGAGTTGAGAAGGTAAAAAAAGTTAGGCTTCAAACATTGAGACATCAATTTGAAATTTTACAAATGGAACTTGTTGAAAGCGTTGTAGATTATATGACTTGAGTAATTGCTTTGACAAATCAAATAAAAATAAACGGGGAGAAGGTTGTAGATTTAGTAATTGTGGAGAAGATATTGCGATCTCTTACAAAAAATTTGATCATGTCGTGGTAGTAATCAAAGAATCAAAGGATTTATCCAAGATGACAGTTGATGAGTTGATTGGTACCTTATAAGTTCACGAGCAACGCATGAATGAGAGGTCAACCGAGAATCCCCTTGAGAAAGCTTTTCAAAGTCAAGATTTTATAAAAAATAACAAAAGAGCGTAGTACAAAAGAGACCAGCGAGGAGGAAATCCCCATGGCAGAGGACAAGGATACTAGAACTATAATAACCGAGGATGCGTATACTACAATAGTCAAGCACGTGGAAGTTATAACAACAATCAAAGAGATGACGATAATAAAAGAAGCAATTATCAATAAAATTTAAATTATTTAGGTCAAGGTTGAGGTTGAGGTTGAGGTCGAGGTAGAGGAAATTTTAATAAATCAAATAGTGAATGTTACATATATCACAGATATGGCCACTATGCAAAGGAGTGCAAGTATCAAGATAATTCCCAATCTGGAGAAGAAGTTCGATTTACACAAGAAAAAGGTGATGAAGACAACCACACTTTATTAATGGTCATGGCAGCCGGTGAAGAATCAAACAACAACACATGGTTTCTTAACACTACGTGTTCTAAACACATGTGCGGAAAGAAGGAGTTGTTCGTGGACATGGATGAGTCGATGCAGTCCAAATTTAAGTTTGTCAATGACAACACTATACCAGTGATGGGAAAAGGGCGACCACAAGTTTATTTTCGATGTATTCTATGTGCCGAATATGAAGAAGAATTTACTCAGTATGAGCCAACTTCTTGAAAAGGGGTATGATCTACGCTTCTCTGGTAATCAACTCTTAATCTTTGATAAAAGAGGTGTATTTATCCTTAAAGCCCCTATGGCAAATATTTGCATGTTTTGGGTTGACATCCAGAATGATGTTTGTCATTGCTTCAATGCTATTATGAAAGATGAGTCTTGGTTATGGCATCTTCAGTCTTGGTTATCAATCAAATTTAAATTATTAAGGTCAAGGTCAAGGTCAAGGTCAAGATCGAGGTAGAGGAAATTTGAATAAACTTGTGGTCTCCGTTCTTCAGCTTGATGAGAACTCGCCCTTTTCCATCACTGGTATAGTGATATCTGAATTTTCGCAGTCTGAAGTTGTTTGCTCAAAGAAATTTGGTAAGAGGCTTGCCCATTATAGGTATCCTGAGCAGTTGTTTGAATGTTGTATTCTTGGAAAGCAACATAGATCATCCTGTGGTATTGAAAATACTTGGCGTGCAAAGAAGCCTCTTGAGCTCGTTCATTTAGAAGTGTGCGTTCCTACGAGCACTATATCCAATGACAATAATTGATACTTCCTTACTTTTATTGATGATTTTACAAGAAAAATATAGGTCTGCTTTTTGCAGCAAAATTCTAAAGTTTTTTATTATTTTAAGAGCTTTAAAGCCCTAGTTGAGAAGAAAAGTGATTACTTTATCAATGTGCTACGAACATATGGAGAAGGTGAATATACTTCTAACGAATTTAATAAGTAATGTGCATAAGCGATGAACGGAAAAATCGGACGATACTTTACATGGCGAGAAGCATGCTAAAGGTCAAAGGTATGCCCAACTATTTTTGGGGTGAATCGGTCTCATGCAGTATATACTTGTTGAACAAGTCACCAATAAAGCGTGTTGACAATCTTACTCCTGAAGCGGCGTGGACTGGTTATAAGCCAAGTATAAGACATCTCAAAGTGTTTGGCTCTATGGCTTATGCTCATATTCCAGCAGAAAGAAGAAAGAAACTTGATGACAAATGCGAGAAGACAATTTTTATTGGCTACAAGTTCGAGGGCTACAAACTCTACAATCCTACTACAAAGAAGGTGATTGAAAGGAGCGATGTTATGTTTGCTAAAGAAGAAGCTTGGAATTGGAATTTAGAAGCACAAAACGATTCACGACATACTCTCCTTAATATTCTTGAAGACAGTGTCCTTGTTGCAACTGAAGAAGCACCACCAGCCAATGCTCCTCAGCTCCAACCCCACAAGTTCCATTAGAAGTTGAAAGGCCAAGAAGAAATCACCAACCATCAGTTCTCTTGAGAGATTATGAAGTAACTCTAGATAATGATGTTAATGCATATGAAGATATGGTAAACTTTACAGTGTTTTGCAGATTGTGAGCCAGTTATGTTTGAAGAGGCTAATCAAGATCCTAAGTGGATAAATGCAATGAAAGAAGACATAAAGGCGATTGAGAAGAATGACACATGTGAGCTTACTAATGTCCCATAAGGACATAAAGCAATCGATGTGAAGTAGATCAAAATAAAGGTTAAAGTGAATGGCAAGGTTGAGCGGCATAAAACAGGATTGGTGGCGAAAGGCTACAAGCAAAGGCCTGGTTATGATTACCAAAAGGTATTTTTTCATGGTGCTAGAATTGAACTGTTAGACTAATAATTGCCTGGTTGCATAGAAGCATTAGAATATTCATCAGATGGACGTGAAGTCAGCTTTGCTTAATGGGCCACTTGAAGAAGAAGTTTTTGTGAAGTAGTCACCTAGATTTGTGAAGAAAGGATGGAAGCATAAAGTATACAAGTTGAAAAAAGCCTTGTACAGGCGCCGCAAGCATGGAACAAAAAATTGATTCTTTTTTTCAAGAATGTGGATTTCAGAAGTGCCCCTCCGAGCATGCTTTATATGCGAAGATAAACAACTCTGGTGATATACTACTATTATGCCTTTATGTTGATGGCTTGATTTTTACGGGCAATAATATTAGTATGATTGAAGATTTTAAGAAGTCGATGATGCATGAATTTAAGATAACAAATCTTGGCTTGATGTCTTATTTTGTCGGCATTGAAGTAGTACAAGGAGATGATGGGGTTTTCATATGTCAAAGGATGTATTGTGCAGTTGAAGAGGTTTCAGATGTTTGATTGCAATCCTATTAGAATTTTTGTGGAGGTTGGTACTAAATTATCTCGAGAAGGTGATAGTGCAGAAGTTGATCCTACCTATTTCAAGCAAATTATTAGGAGTTTGAGATATTTCACATGCACAAGACCAAATATAGCCTATGGAGTTGGTTTAATCAGCAGATATTTAGAGGCCCTTTGCCAATCTCATCTGCAAGTTAGGGTCGACCCTGATATTCTTAATTTTTCACGGGGCCCTAATCAAGCTTTCAAATGAGGGGCCTCTATATACAATATTTCATACACCAAAATTTTTATAAGATATCAAAATATTTTTTTATTAAAATGAGATAATAATCACACAATCGTATTAATATTAAAATCAAAAAACTTCTTGATGCTTTATAAATAACACAATTCATACTACATTAAATGGGATCGCCTTGCATTTTGAGCTGCAAAATTATCAATTAAAATATTCCAATCAAGCTTCTCCAAATTTTTTTTTCGATAGATATCATAGCCAATCCATTCAATATCTCTTGTGACATTATTGACCGTAGATAAGATTTGATGAGCTTCAACTTTGAAAAGCTTCTCTCAGCCGATACAACTGTAACTGGTATTGTCAATAATACTCTATAAGCAATCCAAGCATTTGGAAAATAACAATTTAGCCTTGTCATAAAATTCAATACTTCAATTGCTTTTTTTGTTCCTCTTGGTAATGCTTCTCTTAAGTTTTGGAGTTCTGAAAATAATTTTTTCCTATTAGGGGCTGTTTGGTTCGCTATTATAAGGGGTGGAAAACTCAGAAAACCCTTCCACGTCAGATTTTTAGCTCTCCACGTCAGCTTTTTTATTTCCGTCCATTTCTTTGTGCCGCTTTGGTTCGCTCGAATGGAAGAGGGAAAACTCTGCTGAAATCGCCGCCAACTAATATTTTTTTCCCTCTCCGATTTCCTTCCCCAACCAAGTGAAATTGATGAAAACTCTGCCACGTCAGATTTTTTTCCTTCTCTGCTTTGTTTACAAAAGTTTTTCTTTTTTTCTATGCGAACCAAACACAAGAAAAATAAATACATTGGTTTCCCACCATTTTTTATGTGTGAACCAAAACAAAACAATCTATTTCTTAGAAAAGTTTGGAAAACTCAAAACTTGTGTTTCTTTACATGGAATTGTATTTCTCTATATCAAGGAAACGAACCAAACAGCCCCTTAATATCAAAATTTTTGTCATGCTTTATAGGAGATCTTCAAGGTTAAGATATGAACACTTCAAACTATCATTATCTGCAGACTTCAATCTCTCCAAATTAAACAAGAAACCAAAAGATTCATCATACTGTTGAAACTATTCAAATCTACTCTTGAGTGAAGAAAGAGATTGATCCACGATATATATGATGTAATTGACTCTAAAGGATTCTTCAACTGTCATTACCATCTCTTTACTAGCATTTTTATCAAAATGTTTCTTTCTACGAATGATGCGATGTTCACAAAAAATGGGTTCAACTTTTATTCTAACTGTAATTTCTTTAGCCTTAATCATAGCTGCTTCAAATCCATTTTATCTGTAGCTTTCAAAAAAGAAAATGAGCCCTCTTAAAAGGTCTATAGCAACATCAACCTTCATATCCTCTGATTGCATGATTTTACTTATTTTGTTAATAGCATTCAAAATATCAAACCAAATAACCATACCAAGTAAGAACTCAAAATTCTCAATTTCATATGTTGCTAAGCACTCAACATCACTTTTAGTCTTGGAATCTTCACTAGAACTTGCTAAGTAAATCAAAGCATCTCTTATATCAGGAGCTTGGAATCTTATTGCTTTAACACTTTCAAGTTGACCTTCCTAACGAGTTTGTGATGGTGGCTTAAGTGTGAAACCTTTAACATTACCTGTAAGAACTTTCCACCACTTTGTAGAAGATGCAAACAATGAATATATGTGTTGCACCACTTCGAAAAAGATGAAGCTTTCGAACAAGAGTTTACCATATCACAAAGTGCAAGGTTAAGACTATGACAACCACAAGGTGTGTAGAATGCTCTAGGATTTATCTCTAATAATCTTCTTTGTACACCTTTATGTTTTCCTTTCATATTAGAACCAGTATCATACCCTTGTCCTCTTACATCACCAATATCAAGTTTAAGCTCTTGCAAAATATTTACAAGTTCTTCAAAAAGTCCTCGTCCTGATGTATCATCCACCTTTAAAAATCCTAAAAAGAACTCCTCCATCTTTATTGGGCAAAAATCCTAAAAAGAACTCCTCCATCTTTATTGGGCTTGTTGAAATATTCATGCATCTTAATATAAGTGATATTTGCTCTTCATGGCTTGCATCTGGAATACAAATCAAGAATAACAAAAAAGTACTTTGCTTCTTTAATCTTTTGGATGATTAAACTTTTGATCTCATCTACTATTCGAAGAATAAATTCATTTTGAATTTTGAAGAATAAATTCATTTTGAATTTTGTGACTAAGATAATGATAATGAATTTCTTTCTCCTGAACTCGACGAACATGCTCTTTCATTATTGGATCAAATTCGGCAATCATTTCTATTATATTTAAAAAAATTCCATTATTTTCTTCATAGAGCTTCTCATTATCTCCACGAAATGCCAAACTATTTTTAGCAAGTATTTTCACAACATCAACTACTCTCAATAGTACTTTTCTCTAATGTTCTCGTTCTTTGTTGATTTGTTCTTCAACACTTTTATCGATTGTCGCATTTTGTCGTAATCTGATCTCTAATTCAATCCAACTCTTCATGTTGACAATGTGTTCATTACTTGTTTCATGATTTTTAAGTCTAGCACTAAGATTTCTCCAGTCTCTAACTCCATCATTTACCAATTAAATTTTGTTTGCATCATATTTGAACAACTTACAACAAAAACAAAAAAACCTTGTCCAAAGAATTTGAATAGATTAGTCATTTTCTATCATGATGTTCACAGTTGGATAAGTTACGAATGTAACGTATTCAGGAGAAATGTCTGCCTTCTGAATCTTTCAGAAAATCAAGATTATCATTTCTTTTGGGACCTCTTTCAACTAGTAAGTCTCTCAATATTTGATCAATATTTTTCTAATTTCCTGGGTCATTTATGTCTGAAGGTCTTCCTTCAAGGTTTTCTTCTTGTACCAAATCTTCATGTTCATTTACATTTTCTTCATGTTCATTTACATTGCTAGGTTCTTCACATTCTTCAATGGAATTTCTATTCTCATTCAAATTTTCATTAACCAAATCCTCGCTTTCTTGATTTTCAGGTTGCTCATTTTCAACATTCACATAATCTTGAACTAAATTAGAATATGTATTTCTACTACTAGTAATAAATTTTTTTAGTGCTCCCGCTTGAGATCGATTGAATTCTTTAATTTGTTATTTCTATGTCAGCTTATCATGTCCAGACATATACTTTCGAGGAGGCATAATATCCAAATTTAATTCTGAATCTGTTACAATCTAATAAATATCGAGAAAAATAAAGTAATCAAGTATTCCTACCAAAAAGCATGTTAGGGACTAAAATATATCAAATATTTAAATTGAAATTTGAAATTAAACAATAAAATCTGTATAGGTAAAAGATCTTACAATTTCTTCCAAGTTTGAGATAAAGATGCTTTCTTTCTTGACAATCCACCAAATCACGTTTGATTCTGCTCTAATTCACAAAGCCCTAATTCCACAAAGCCCTAATTCCTAAATCCTACTGAGAATTGAGAACTTAAAGAATGGAGGGGTCGGGGGCGGCCGAGCGACAGGGCAGCGACGGGAGGCCAGGCGACGGGGCGACGACGGTCAACCAGGCGACGACCGGGCCGGCGAGAGCCGCGAGAATTGAGAGCGGAGAGGGATGAAGATGAAAAGGCAAACGAATCACGAATGGCTGTGTGTTACAAATTTTGGGGGTTAAGTGACTTGGGTTGGGTTAAAAATTTTGGGTTGGGTCGGGTTACAAAATTTGTAACCCGACCCAATTAAATTGTAGCAAATTGGGGGCCCTAGGCGGCCGCCTGACCCGCTTAGGGTCAGGGCCGGCCCTGCTGTACGTTACAAAGAGAATTATGCGGTATCTAAAGGGGACTTATGATCATGGTTTATTTTATTCTTCATCTAACAATTGTGATGTTGTGGTTTATTTTATTCTTCATCTAACAATTGTGATGTTGTGGTTTATTTTATTCTTCATCTAACAATTGTGATGTTGTGGTTTATTTTATTCTTCATCTAACAATTGTTTTTATTCTTCATCTAACAATTGTGATGTTGTGGTTTATTTTATTCTTCATCTAACAATTGTGATGTTGTAGGCTATTCTGATAATGATTGGAGTGGAGATCATGATGATCGTAAAAGCACTTCTGGCTATGTCTTCAATTTTGGCACCATCGCATTTTTATGGTCGTCGAAGAAGCAGTCTATTCTTACACTCTCAACTTGTGAAGTGGATTATGTAGCAGTTACGTCGAGGGCTTATCAAGCAATTTGGTTGCGTAATGTGCTAAGTCAGATTCATATTCAAGTTGAAGGTCCTACAAAGATTTATGTTGACAACAAGTCCGCAATTGATTTTACGAAGAATCCAATCACTCATACAAGGAGCAAACATATTCATATTCGTTACCACTTTTTACGAGACAATTTGAGAAGAACGAGATCGTGTTGATTTATTACAATTCTAAAGATCAAATTGCGAACATCCTCACGAAACCTTTGAAGTTTGAAGCGTTTGTCAAGTTGACGCACATGATGGGAATGAAGACCTTACAGAATTAGGATTAAGGTGGGATGTTGAAGTTAATCCTAATTCTAAAAAGATTTGAGTTGGTTATCTCTAGAAATTATAATCATACTAGAATTCTATTATGAAATACTTTGTAAAGCCTTTAAACATGCATTCATGCATCATTCAACCTAAAAAAAGAGGGGGAAATAGATATCAGAACATCCGAGTACTGTAGCTATAGTAATAGAGAGTTAAAAAAATTATTTGCTTTTCCCACCAAATCTCTCATCGTACATAATATACTTCTATTTGCTTTGTCGTTGATTGCTCCAACAAATTCAAGCTTCTTACTAAAAAATATATTAAAAGTATTTTGATGAATTAAGAAATAAAAACTTGTCAAAAATAAACTCCATATTAGAATTTTAATAAAATTAAAAAATTTCATAAAAAATAAATATAAAATATATTTGTTATGGTAATTTACCATCTAAAGATAAGTATCAAGAGATTATCTGCATAGGCTTAAAAAGCCATGGTCTAAACCGGTTTTAAAGCACAGCCGAGGTCAAGTCTATCGGCCAGTCGAGCAATCGAGTCATCTTTTCGACCAAGAATCGTCATGACCGACTCGAAGTGCGGGATCAGTCGGTCCCTCGTAATTAAGACGACTCCTCGAGCAAACGTCTCGACCATACACTTGATCTAAAGCTCACTCGACTGCCGGGTCATAAAGTCATAAAGACAACTCATGAACCGACCCGCCTCTACTCAAGGGATAAGACACAGCTAAACTCACATCAGATGTCACTCAACCCTATAGCATTGACTAGTCCCATCAAGATCTCCGCTCTGACAAATCCCCTGCATAAGCCGCTTATTCTACTCACATGTCACTTCTCTGGGATCACCATGATGCTCTTCTGGGCTCGAATGACTTCCCCTCCAATCACCAACCGCCATCTGGAGAGGGAAGGTCGATCGAGCAGCGGGCCTATCCTCTGCACTGTCTCATCTGTCAAATCCAAGATACTGAGAGGATATCTCTCTCCTGTATTCGGATGACTTCCCTTCTAATCGTCAGCTGACATCTGGAAGGAGAACGATGACTCAGCAGTCTATCTGCCCACCCTGCAACCACCCTCCTGTGCAAAAGAAAAGCCAAAATCTCAGAGACAATGGACTATAAAAAGGAGGTAAGGAGGGTAAGGGCGAAAAGAGAGGCTGATCTCTGCTTCTTACACTTGAGCTTTACTTCCTTTTCGATCTTCTTTTTACATAAAGAGAAAATTTAATAACTCTTAGTGAGGAACCCCTACAAGGACCTCAATGGCCCAGGGACCTCTCAAAAAACCCTCCTCAAGTTCACCAGCTGACTTGACCGTCGGAGGTATCACGGGAGAAAGTAGCCCCGTACTCCTGCGATTCTTACATGTGCATGCTATCAGTCTACCCCGCGCGCTCAGAATCGGGCGTAGAGTCGGAGGAGGAGTCGGCCCCATCTCTTATCCTTCTAACCTTCGTCATCAACGGAAGACCCTCTTCGACTGTGTGTTCACAGACATCAATATTTTAACCAAAAAACTATGACAAAAATAAAAAATAGATTAAAACCCTCCTTACTAAAACTAAATTAGCAAATAAAGTTTGGCAAAGAAAATAAATTAAAAATATTGTGTTGATGAATTATACACATTAAAAACTCCTTATTCAGCTTACCAGCTGAGATTGAACAGACAAAGAAAACACAAGATTGATCGTTATGAGCTCTTTAATTTAGTAGATTTGATTCACTCCATACAACTTTTACTGACATTATCCTATGTGAAGTTGGGTTTCTTTCTTCCAATCAATTGAAAATGATGATATCTTAATACTAAAGCCCTTTGCATAAATTGATAAGCAAAATAAGGAAATGAAAAATATATTATAAACAAAATAAGGAATTTATTATTCATACCTTGCTTTTAATCTATTTTTTTTTCTTGCTCAACAAATGATCGAACAACTAAGAAATAGAAAACCAAAAGGAGAAGGGTCATCAATCAATAAAATAATTTTAAAAATAAAAATAGAAGAAAACATAAAAACCAACCTCAATGTACATACATGAGCTTGTCATTTTTTGAAGTCCGGGATTAAAACTGGAAGAAAATTATATGAGCCAAAAGGGTGAAAATCTACGATTTGGATTTGAGAGATGGAGCTCTGAGTGGGGGGCTTAGGCTATTATTATTATATCTCAAAAGAGGCAGAGATACAAAGCCAAAAGAGATGCGCGTAGAAAAACCTTCACCAGTTAACCCTCCTCAGACATTAAACTCTCAAATTCATGCACTGAAGAAACCAAAGCGAGAGGATAATCTCTTATCGTCTAGCTAAATCAAATCACGAACTAGCTAATCATTGTATGAGCTCACGAGGTTTCCAAAAATGTGGAATAAAAATGTGGAAGCTGCCTAAACATATTGAGTCCTTAGAACTCCCCAACATAAAACATACACAAAAGATGTGCACGATTCAAGTGGAATTAAAAATAAAAATAAAACCCATTGGGCATAGAACAACGTAGGCAAAATTGGAACGATAAGACGCACGTACAAAATGTAATAAAAATGAGATGCAGCGGAGACAAAGAATTGACATAATAAACCATATTCACAGTAGTAGACGGCTGAGAAAGCTTGGAGACCTCAAACAGCTTTCACAGTCATCGTTACAAACAATGTACTTATTATATCAAATCCTCACGACAACCAAATCTGAAAACATGGGAAAAAAAGACATAATAAACACAAACAGGTGTCCAGAGAGGCCAAATACCGAACAGAGGCTAAAAAGGACGCGGTACCAATGTTTACAATACATATAGAAACATCCGCTTCCTGCAAACGCACTCCTCGTCCGCAACCATCTTCAATATGCACAAGCTAAGTTCCGGAGTGGAGCAAGCAGTTCAGATCCTTCCTTCATCCAAAGCATTCCTTATGCTTCCACCAAGCAAGGACATCAAACCGCCACCATGAACCCTTCCCTCTGGAATCACGAACCCGAATCCCTTCCCCACCCCTCCATTCGCCGAATCAGCCTTCATGCTCGTAGGAACCAAAACCTGTGGAGGTATCAGAAGTTGTTGCCTAAGCTCTCCATTGTCTGCTGACTCAGTACAGTCTGACACCGCGCTCACCCCAGATGACGACTGATCGCTGTTCCCCATCGTCGTGGTTGTCATTGCCGCTGATGTCGACGACACAATACCCCTAAAAAGCCCCGAACCAATCATTCCTCCGCTTCCTTCCTTTGATACCATACTACCATGAGCTGCACATAATCCACTCCTTCCCCTCGCAAACTTCTCGCAACCTCCCCATCCGCATCTTTTACCACCTCCATGAGCCTTGCAGAAGTCGGTGCTCCCTTGTGCGCTCTTTCCACAACCCTCCATCCTGCATCGCTTCCCTCCACCATGCCTCACGCAGCAATCTGTCCTTCCTCGAGCACTTTTAGTGCATCCCGGCACTGAACATCTCTTCCCACCTCCATGGGCAACACAATAGTTAGTCCCGCCATGAACGCTTTTAGGGCAAACACCACCTCCCTCAAACAAGCATCTCTTCCCCCCTCCGTGCCCCTTGCACAAAGGCGTGCTTCCCTCGGCCCCTTTATTGCAACCCTCAAACACGCACCTCTTCCCTCCACCATGAGCTTTGCAGAACATCGTGCTTCCTTGTGCACCTTTACTGCACCCCAAATACTGGCACCTGCGACCGCCACCATGGGAGATGCACAGACCGGCTTGGGCCCTCAGCGCTTCGTGCGCATTCCATCGACGGTGCACCTCTTGCCGCCAATGACGGATGCAGAGACCCGATCTTGCCACGGCTGCTTTTGGGTGCTAGCCGAGGTGCGTACCTCGCATCGCCGGTCCACCACGTGAGCGATGCAGATTCGCGTCGACCTCAGGCTGCTCTTTGGTGCCACTCCGACGTTGCTGCGCACGGCGGCCGCCAACCAGCTGCCTTCAGTAGGCTGCTTCGCGCCTCTCTTGCTCCTTTGTTGCAGCCAGGCTTCTGGCATCGCTGACCACCTCCATGAGCGATGCAGAGACCAGAAGCCCCTCTCGCTCCTTTGGTACACCCCTTGAATCGGCACTTCTTTGGATGGTGATGATAGGGTCTTTGTTGATCGCAAGTGAAACCACCAAAGGAAGAATCAGTAGTAGCTGAGATTTCAGGGCTGAATTGACGATGATGATGCTGATGTTCGGAGGTGGCGTCACTTCCAACATCTACTAGTTCGTGGGTCTCTGGTTGGCTTTTACTCTCCTCTGCCCTTGGAGCAAAAAGGAGGGTTGGCATGTATCCACCTGACATCCTCTTCGCTGAAGTAGAACCTTCGTCAACAACTGGAATACCAAGCCCAAGCTTCAACATCCCAGAATCAGCCCCAGAAACCAAAGTTTGGCTAAACTTGTTTGCAGATTCTTTGCTCTTAGTAACCCCAGATGGGTAATCGGCACGGTAGGACGTCGGAGTTGGGCCCAATCCAAGAACCAGCTTACATCCATCATCTTGTGCAGAAATATCACAGTTGTTCTGAGAGCACAACATTCTCGCGTTGTTATTAGCATCACCTCCTATGCAGTCCAGAGTTAGTGCAGTATCACCCAAGTTGTCATTTTTGCCCCATGCAGAGAAGTAGCATGTTCCAGTGGTCGATGAATTCATCATAGGCTCATTTCCATGGAATAGGATATGGTTCATGTTAAGGTCCATTGAGTTTTCAGTGTACGGAAAGGTTTTCGAGAGAGTGGGTAACTTAGAGATCAAGAAGGATGTTTATGACTATATCTACAATCTAACAATGCATTTGTAGACATTTCTCTTTGAGAAGGACCTGAGTGTAGATAAAATAGAAGAATGTGAGAAACTTCAACTTGTAACCTCCACCGCTGACAAAGCCGGAAGTGTCGGCCCTATCCATGTCTCGGGACCTGACTGCAGAGGTAAATTTGTGAGCGGAACCTATTGTCTTCTAAGAGTAACTCATCATGTCTTGATGGTAGTGGCCCAATGGAAGAATGGTTAAGACCGAACAAGCTTCTCACACTAATCTATAGATTTTAATTAACCCTGCAAAAAGGAATAAAACAGGTCATTTTTCGCAGGATCAAGGAAAGAAATAACTAAGAAACAGGTGAAGACCAACGTCAACAACCAAAATAAATATGAATATTGCATATAACTTAGAAAACAAAAATCTAGGCGACTTTCTCAAACAAAAAATTAAAAAAAAATCCTCCAGACATGCATCCAGAGAGTGGAAAACACCAAAAAACTTGTTTGATATAGTGTCAGTTGAATGGAAAAAGAATCCAATATATTGACCACTTGTAGAAGAAAACCAAATTCTTGCCTTCCCTTACGAAAGATATCATCCACATATTGAGAGGTATAACAAAAAATAAATCATAACATTTGTGCCTCTGTCTGCACCTACTCTTGAATATTTGATATCATTTTCTCATTCTCCAAGACTCTGTTCACTTAGTTTGAGAGAAATTTGAAGGGACAGTATGCTCCTTTGTTACAAGACCAAAAACTAAATGGATACAAGTTGGTTTCCAGCCAACCAATAAGCCTTGCTCATCTTATGTTTGGGTTGATTAGTCCATTTATCCAATACTTTAGCATTAACTTGCATGGCAATATGTATGTGCATAAAATCTGGAAAAAAATTCAAAACCTTCCATAGAGCTTTATGCTCTTACCTGACCTTATTTTGAAAAACACATAAGTATAAAATCCAAAAGTCGAGAAGTCAACCACAGTAACCCCTAGAAGCATACAATACTTTAGCATTAACTTGCATGGCAATATGTATGTGCATAAAATCTGAAAATTTTCGCAAAACCTTTCATAGAGCTTTATGCTCTTGCCCGACCTTATTTTGATGAACATATAAGTATAAAATCCAAAAGTCCAAGGAATCAACCACAGTAACCCCTAGAAGCATACAGCACCAGTAATTTATAAGCAACAAAGGTGGCTTCAAGATAGAAAACAAAGAATAACTATTTTCAGGAAATCAATCTTTCCATAAAAAATTGCACTAATATCTATTTATGATTATGAGGGTTAAAAGATGCATAGGTGCATGTATGACAAACCATAAGCCCACAGAAAATTGCACCAATAGCTATATTAAAGAATTTGTGAGAAATGCCTTACTCCTGAACACAATATCTGCAAAATCAGCAGCATCTATCTCTGTCCACTTTCATGTCTCTAACAAAAATCATGAATGTGTTGGTATAGAGTTTGGTGAATGATATGTCAGGCTGCGTAGCATAAAATAATAATTGCTCGCCATGTTTGATTCTCAATACAGCAAAGCCTTCTCAAAATAAGACGCTAAACGATTTTCAGGAAACTTTGATTACGGATCCTAGTTTGAGTCTGAAATGGTGCAACCGTGCAAGATATGATCATTTTGACCGACTGAATATTTTTTCTGCAACATGTTACAAACTACAACTCTTTTGGTCAGCTTAAGTGCAGAAGGACCTACGCTCTTACGTCTTCCAGATTTTTATTAATGCACTACGCAGCAATATTTCCAATAGAAAATGTCCTTGGTGTTTTCTAAGCTTTGATAACATGCACATATAATATAAAGTAAAACACCACAAAAGAAAAGTTAGATCACTTAGTTGTCCATCTAAACATCAACAGAATGGACAGAGCACAGCAAATAATACCAGCCATATTGTTAACCTCCCCCAAAAGGTTTGTGCAATTCTAATAAAAATCCACAAGAAAGAAAATTGATTTCACTTCCAATAATGGCCAAAAATACTACATCCTTGATGTTATCTTTTTATTTTTCTGCCTAATTTCATAGTACGGGAAACAAGACCAAACTTATTAACCTAAGGGCAAAAGACAAATTAGACATAGTAATAGGATATAAGGAGTACTGAAGTGCTTAATTAGACCCCTTAAAGTGAGGCTTGCTAGATTTAGAGAATGAAACAGTACTTCAATGAATAAAGTACTCACTTATACATAAAAGTTGTTTAACTAAACATAAAATTCTTCATTGAACCAAAATGATTAGATTCTGAACAGACATGTGCCTTAGGCCATAACTATTAACCTCTATAAGCAAGAGAACAGCACCTAAACAAAATTAAAATTGAAAATACAATGAAAAGAGAAATAAATCAAGACAAAATTCTGAAATGAATGAATCTAGAAGGACACACTTAAGATCTGAAATCTATTCCAACTAATCACATTAACCAAACCCAACACTACGTCAAAATAACAGAAACCGATGTCGGTTCTAATTAAACAACAAGATTAATAAGAATCTTAAACAAAAGCATGAGTACTAACAAAAAAGCTACCTAGGAAAGTGTTGAAATAAATGAATCTTAGTGGGGTTTTATGGAAAGATATCATTTAATGATTGAATTCCATAGAAGAAATTAAAATGTGTTTAATTACTAGTATGTGAGTTTTAGTCCCACATTAGCTAATTAAATGCACTTTAGTTGGTTTAAATTAACACACGTGTTATTTATACACTTGTGTTGGTATATAAGCGAGCGTGTGAGCAAGCGAGCGGGCTCGGGTGCGCGTGTGCTGGCGCGTGCTCTTTTTGCACGTACTGTGCTTTATAACAGCTTAAACGTTTTGCATGTGCTCACTTAAAACCAGCTGAACTTTTTGGACGTTACAAACGTTACAAGGATTGAATAGGTTTTATCGCAGACGTTACAAATATTGTAATAACTGGAATTCAAATATTTGTCTCCCGTGAACCTTATAAAAGGGCATTTTCTGATCATCTGAAAGACAATCAACAGAAAACGAAATCTCCTGTCTTCTTCTTCTTCTCTCAATAATTCTATAAGCTGATTTAGTATTTGAGATTCTGGCGATCTGAAGAAGCAGTCGAGGTGTTCACAAGAAGAGAGCGCTTCTTTGAAGAGCAGTCGTCTCATTCTTGAAAGTACTATGCAAACCCAACGCTACCGTAGGTGAGACAAAGTTTCTTCAAGGTCAGTCGAGGGTGATTCGGCACTTCTAAAAAGTATTTCTAACTTGAAGTGATTTAATAGGATGTATCTAACTTTCTGCTCTTTTCTTTCACTCCTGTATGGTTTTTTCTATACTACTTTGGATATGTTTTTATGCTTATTTTTCCCAACAGAAAGATCATAAGCACAGATACATGGACTCGACAAAATATCCGAAAATAAAACTACTGTAGGAATTATGTCAAAGCAATACAGATATTAATACCTAAGAACCAGATTAACCAGAGCAAACTGAATTAGTATAGAACCAACAGATGAATATATATTCATAGAAACCAAAATTTTAACTCATAAATTCCACCATAAACAGAGCCATACTAGTGAATTTCATAAACAAATTTTTCTACAAGAGAAAAAGAAACATCCAAGCTCCAACTTTCATAATAAAAACAAAATAACAAAGTTAATTGATCTACAGATTCATAACACCCAGATCCAATCCAAAGCACCCCAAATCCCACTAGTTGCAGATTAAAAAGCAAAAAACAAAAAAACAAACAGAGAACATACCTAAATTACCAGAACTGCTAGCAGCTTCAATAGCTGCAACTTAATTTCCAAAACAAAAAAAAAAGGAATCAGCAACCCATTAGAATCACACAGCAGAAGAAGAAATTCCCCCAAAAAAAATCAAACTACACAAAGATCAAAACTTTCAATTACCAGCAAATAAAACCAAGCAAGATAGAAGACTAAGGGATAAAATGAAACAGAGAACGCTCTTCAACATCGATCCACGACGGAAATAAAAATAAAAATACATAAGTTATGTTGAAATTGTACCTGCGAATGGAGATCGAGAAGCTGCCCACCATTGAAATCGATGGAATAAAATCGAGAGAAGTTGGAGCTAAATAGAGAAGGAATTGTTTATAAAGGGAGAGAAAAGAGGCAAGGCGAATAAAATAGAGATTTTTTCCCCCTAAAATATATTTATAAAGGATCCGGGGTCCGCTTCAATTCGATTATTTAGGGCTTGGGTCGGGGGGACGGCGATTGATGACCTGGCTAACGGGCGTTAACTGCGACGCGACTGACGACGCTGATTCGCCGTCCCTCTTGTGGGGCCCCTGCCAGCGGGGTTTTCGATGTGCTCTGTTATTTTGGCCGCTTGCAACCCTCCGCGTAAAAATCGTCATTTCATTATTGGTTGTCAATCTCGGCCGTTCGTTTCAGCTATAGTTTGTGATTATCCATCTGGTTATTAATGATAATTATAACAATATATATTTGTTAAGAAAAACGAAAATATCACGAAAAACAATCAGTAAAAGGGAAGATTAGATTAATGTATCTGGCCTTACTCTCGTCCATGTTCAAGATTTTCTTATTTTTTCTAAGGGGCTGTTTGGTTCGTTTTTTAACTCGGTGGAAAAGTTTTACACCGCCTCCACATCATATTTTTCGTGACCACGTACGATATAAGTTTTTCGTTGGTTTTTTTCCCATCTTTGGTTCGCTAGGGTTGAAGAAGAGAAACTCGATAAAAATCACCGTCACATCAGATTTTTTTCTCTCCCCCAATTCCTTCCTCAACCTCGTGAAATCGACGAAAACTGCAGCCACGTCGGCTTTTTGCCATATAAACAAAAGTTTTCCTTTTTTCCATGCGAACCAAACACAAGAAAAATAAATACATTGGTTTCCCACCTTTTTTTTGCGAACCAAAGCGAAACAATCTATTTCTTAGAAAAGTTTAAAAAACTCAAAACTTGTGTTTTTGTACATGAAAATGCATTTCCATATATCTAGGAAACAAACCAAACAGCCCCTAAAACTATTTTAGGCCAAGCCGATGATATGCGAAAATCTTATATTAACCAACCCCATCCCCACCCCTCTCCTTTTATTGAATTTTTACGGAAATGTGTGATTATGTTTTTTAAGCAAGATAAAATGGATCTAGTTTCGCAATATGATCGGCTAAGGTTTTGTCTTTGTAGAGATTAGCTTGGGGTAGCTTTTCTATCTCTTAACTCCAGCGCTGCTACATGGACCCAAAATATGGGATCAATGGAGGGGACATGTGAGATGTCCCCCTCCTATTGCATAATGAGCTGACATGACCAGCTCATTATGCAGTAGCGAGGGGATACCTCACATGTCCCTTCCCTTGGTCCTCATATTTAATTTGGATCCTTAAGTTATTTTTCTTTAGAAATCACACGGCGAATTCTCCAATACGTAGTACCATTCTTGGAGGATTTCACTGCACCAGCTACTACTTTTGCATCTGAATGCACGTGGATTCTTTGGTAGCCAAGAGAGTTGGAAGTAATTTTTGGAGCATGCAGAACCCTCACAGCCTCTGTTGAGGAGATCTGACCCAAAGTGATAAATAGAGCTCTCCCAGTCCGTAACCTTCCCACACGTGTCCAGGATGCTCCTCTGTCATTAAAACAACTACGTCTATTTTCATTGTTACATATGCTTTTCATGAGGATGCCCACTTATTAGCTTTCATCCCATTTTCAAAACTTTCAAGGGAACCAAACATGCCCTCGCCGTTTAATCTCTTTTTTGATAGTACGAATCGCTATTGGATCCTCTACAGTCTTGCTTACGGATAAACTTTACCACTTATATATTCATTTTGAGCAAACCCACAAATAATAATAATTAAATAATTTAAATAAAATTTCTCTTAGCTTTGAAGACGACGTTGGATGAACTAATATTATTTGTCTAGAATTCTCTACAATTAAAATTGTAGAGAATCTCTCCTTGTAAGCGTTGATGTTAATAAGATGGGATATACAGCGCACGAAGCTGACGTGGTCCGATGTGCCATAAATAGTACCGGGGATGGAGAAATGATGGCGTGTGCCAAACATTTAATGTGATGTCGACACGCTGTCAGCAGGGGGTTCGAGGTCAAAGTTGCTTTTTGACTTGTATCAAGGGGTGCCAAGAAGTAACGTCTTTCGAGTCGACTCAACGAGATGCCAACTAACTAACCGGTTAAGAGGACTCGCAGTTAGTCGTCTTTGACAAGAGGACCGACGAGTACCGCCATTCGAGTCGACCTAGGAAGATGTCGACTCGGCGAGTCGGCTGAGTCGGGGCTCTGACTGTCTTGAGCGTCGATTCGACTGAATGGTGCGTGACGGGAGATATCTGCTTGTTATTGGCAAGGGGGCACAATTTGACAACCGAAAACACCAAAACATTAAGAATATTAGACCAAATTCACAGGATACGTGGGGGGAAATTGGAATAAGTTTTAGGGATTTAATAATGTTATTTAATTATTACAATTAGTCTAATCCTTAGTAGTTGCGTGTCATGCTTCCATCTAAGTCTATATTGCACATGTAGATTATTGATAGCCAACAACTCAACAAATTGATTGGCTCCTTCCAAGTTGCAATGACGCCAATTGGAAAGGTACGCTAGACAAACAAACACTTTCTTGATCACGCTTAGGGACTTATATGGTGGACTGGACTTAACTTATTGCGATGCATCTACATTGCCCAAAAGACTTGCTATTACCCCCATTTTAAAGTTTTCATGATTCCAACATTTTCTTAATCACCATGATAATTGACAACCCCTATAAGACAATTCCAAACCCTGTGCTAGCTAGTTTGCCACTGCGTCATTCTCTCTTGTACGTACTTAGCTTTTTAATCGATGGGTTATTTAGATATTAGTCCCTTGAATCTTCAATAATTATATATTAGTCCCTCAAATCTTAGAAATTGCTCATCATCTCTCAAATCCTAGGGCTATTGCAATTTGGTCCATCAATGACCAAAAAACCCTCATTAATATTTATTAAGGGTTATTTGTAATTGGCCACCTTAAATATTACATCATTTTAAATTTTGATACCCTAAACTTTAACCTTCTGTTTTTACTCTCGGATGCACCAATCTTTTTTAACATTTGATGCTCCTTACATATTATTTTTCATACTTCAAAGACTCCAATTTTTTTAACTTTAACACCTCAGAATGTATACGCATTTCAAACTTTGACACCCTAAAGGACAAAAATTTTCGTGCCATTAGACTATACTATACGCCTGCGGTACAAAATGTTAACAATAATACTTTGGGGTATCAAAGTTAAAAGTTATCAAGTTTAGCATAACAAAAATGTGAGAAAAAGACATTGAAGTATCAAAGTTAAAAAAGGCATAAACTTTAAGATATTAAAGTGTCAAAAAACTTTGGCATCTAAATTACAAAGGCTTATATAAACTTTAGAGAATCAAAGTGTAAATAATTATTTTTCTAGGAAGACATGTGTTAGAAGAGAAATCATAACTAAAGGATATATTGGTCATTTAGGGACCAAATGGCAAGACCTAGTAGGATTTGAGAAACTGATGATAAATTATTAAGATTTGAGAGACTGATATAGAATTATTGAAGATTTGGAGACTAATATTTAAATAACCCTTAATTAATAAGAATATAAAAATAGTAACTATACATCTTAATGTTTTTCATTTTTTTTTTAAATAACTATTGCTGGCGACCTTCTAGTGGTTCACTCTTGGATAAGCTCTTGTAAACCAATGAATGCTAACCTTCACGGGCACACTCTTCAAAGCAGTGGGGCTGAAGTTTTCTTTTTATTTATTCTAATTGACCATCGAAGATGTTTGTTACCTATTTATCTGGATTTTCAACATATATTAGAACTAGTGTGCACCCGGTGCTTTGCAAGGAACGCTGTATTTTAAACTTGTTTCCTTCTAAATTTTAATGTATTTGGTTTAATTATTGTATATTTAAAATTAGAAATTATATCTACTTATCTACACTTAAAAAACGATTTAAGTTTTAATATATTTGATGTAGAATTCATATTTACTCCTTTATACTTAAAAAAGAATCTAAATTTAATACATTCGATTTAAAAATTATATCTATAACCAAATGTTAATATTGTAGTAAAAAAATTCACTGTAGCATGAACAATACTTCATGCGCCAGACTTGATTTGTTGTTTATGCCACTGTAGCATGGACAGTATTTCGTTGGGTCCTCCTATAAGTAAAATAATATTGATACAACAGACAACAGATCACTTAAAAATTTTATGGAAGCAATATGATACAAATCTAAAAGCGGATTTAGAAATATCTTCACGAACAATTTGATCATAAATAAATAAAAGAAATACAATCAGCCTATATATAAGTTATAAAATTCAATTATATGGACAAGTCGGGTGATTTTCTCAAACACGGACGATGAGATCTCAATTCCGAACTTTTTTGCGACAGAGATTGACGTAAACCACGGTGCAAACAGATCCACAAATATCAACGGACCGGCTTTTTTGGCGACCAGTGCTACCGTTAGAGGGCAGATGTAATTAAGGGAAAACTCCTCAGGGGACCCTTAAGGGGACAGGTGAGGTGTCAATCCCAGAGGGCTTGATACACAGGTGAGGTGTCAGTCCCTGGGGGCTTGATATACTGTTCATGAACAGTGTATCAAGCCCCCAGGGACTGACAACTCACTTGTCCCCTCAGGAGTCCTCTATTTTGGGGTCCCTGTAGCAACACATGTTGAAAAATTTATGATTCATCGTCGAGAGACTTTGCAAAATTGGTAGCATTCTGGGGAGAGCAAAATAAAGACAAAAGTTTGAAATGTTAATACGGTGATTAAAACTTAAAAATTCTAGTTTTTTTATGTAAAATTAATGGAGCACTTTGAATCTTTGATGCCTTAAATAATTTCCATGAGCTTTTTTTAATGGTGTTTGTTCATTTAATAAGCTATATTTTATTTATGATTAATGCTCCAATGACCAAAAATATGGGACCAAGGGGTAGGACAGGTGATGTGTCCCTTCCCTATTAGATAATGAGTTGGCCATGTCAACTCATTGCCAACTCATTATTTAATAGGGGAGGGACACATCACTAGTCTCACCCCTTGGTCCCATATTTTGGGTCCCCATAGCTGTAGG